TGTGTGTTGTGTGATAGGATTGGGCGGCCAGAGCTGGGTGTGGGGAGAGACGCACCTGAGGTGGCGAACTGTATCCACTCGGAGCCGGTGCCGCCGGTTGAGGTGGCCACGTTGACCCACGCTGTCGTCGACGTATTGTAGAACTGGAGCCGCAGATCGAAGTCGGCGGTGGCCTCGAGCCACGCCTGCAGGTAGCCGTAGCTCGCCACCGTGCTCGTGACCGTGATCTGGCCCGAGGGCACGTTCACCGTCTGATTGCACACTGGTCAGCCCACGCCTTCACACCGCACAGACACCACCGCACGCACGCACGCACGCACGCACACGCACACATGCACGCACACGCACGCACGCACGCGCGCAGTGATGAGGGGAGCGTTACGTTGAGGCCACTGAGGGAGCCGTTGACCGAGGTGCACGGGAAGCTGGACGAGCAGGCGTCGGCGGCGGTCTTGGGCACGACGCCGCGGTCGACCTGCGAATAGAGGAACCGGTTGATCGACGAGCTGTCGGTGCCGGTGACCGTGTTGAGCGTCGCGCTGGCGTAGACGGCGCCCGCAGCCTCCGACGGCGTCACGTTCTTCGTCGCGCCCAAGTACAGCGCCACCGCTCCGGTCACCTACACATGTGTGCGTGCGTCAGTCGTGATCGTGTGCGTGTGCGGCGTGTGCGGTTGGGTGTGTGCGGTGGTGAGTGTACGTGAGGAGTGGCCTGGGAGGTGCCGGAGAGCTTCTGGTAGGTGGTGTCGCTGGTGAAGTAGGCCGAGGGAATGTCCACGCCCGGCGCCCAGATGTTGACGCAGCCGCCCCAGTTGGAGAAGAAGGCCTTGGCGTCGTCGCTGTTCGTCGCGCCCACGGTGATGCCGTAGGGCGAGCGCGCGGGCGTCACAGTGCAGGCGTCGATGTTGGAGTTGCCGGCGGCCGACACCACCACTATCCCCTTATTGTACGCCGCCTTCACCGCCGAGTCCATCACACTCGATTGTTCCTGTGCGCGCACACACCAAACATGCGTAAGTCACAGCGTGTGCGGTGGGCGTGTGTCGTGTGTGTCGTGCGTGTGTCGTGCGTGTGCGTGTGTGTCGTGTGTGTCGTGTTGTATGGACGTACGCCGCCGAGGGACAGGGAGATGATGCAGCGAACGCCGACGGGGCAGTTTTGGATGACCCAGGCGATGCCCAGGCTCACGGTACCGGCGGTGCCGGAGCCGGTGCAGTCGAGGGCCTTGACCGCCACGACGGTGACGTCCTTGGCCACGCCCACGTTGGTGCCCGCGACGATACCGGCCACGTGCGTGCCGTGGCCGTAGCAATCGTAGTCCTTGCTATCCACCGTGTTGGTGCCCCAGACCGCACGGCCTGTGTTAAACTCTATCATAAAATAAAAAAATAAAAACACGTCAGCAAAAATAACTAATTTAAAAATTAAATCTAAATAAAATAAAAATAATACGTGGAATGAATGGAATGTTTGTGTAGCGAGGCGTCGCTGGCGTACCGATGTGGGTGGTGAGGATGCCGGTGTCGATGACGTAGACGCGAACGCCGGAGGTCGGGGTGACGTATTCGTAGCGCTCGTTGAGGGGCAGATGGCGCTGGTCGATGCGGTCGAGGCCCCACGGGTAGATGGACGACGACGAGGACAGGGTCTGCGTGGCCGTGCTGCGCATCACCACGTTGGGCTCGATGAACTCGACCCACGTCTTGTCCCGCAGCGACTCTGTCCATTCATGGCACGACACGCATAGCACGACACGACACACAGTCAACAACGGCCCGCACACGTGTGCGATGTCGACATAAAAACAAAATTAATTGCGAAATCTGGTTGGCGAGGGCTACGGCGTGTAGTCGACGGTACCGACGATCTCGTGCTGGCGGTGGCGCAAAGCGGCGGGCACGGTCACCTGGACCATCATCTGCTCGTCCAGCTCGACCGCCCGCTGGCTGCCGTCCTCGCTGCGGGCCTGAAGCGTCCACGGCCGCTGCTCCTCGCGCCGCTGATGGCGCTCGTCGTGGGAGCTCTTGGCCGCACGCAGGGCGCCCACATCGAACCACTGGTCGGCCCCGAGGCCGAAGCGCGAG